CAGCTTGCAAAGATGGCAGCCGCTCTATCCGGACTGCTGGAGCGCACGCTGTCCATGGACTGGAAGTGACGTGAGCATGGAGCGTCACTTCCGGTCTGTGGACAGCGTGCACTCCACCATCTTTGACATCTCTTCTAAAGCTACCCCTGCAGCTGCTGGCCGGCACAGCAGCTCCACTGCTTTGAGGAAATGCCCTGCAATTGACGGATTACTTATGAGCCTGTTTATACTGCTACACTAAGCATTTTTAATCGCTTTTATTAAAAATTGATCTAGGAATACTGCACTTAGAAGCGCCTTCCTGTTTCATCTTCTGCTGAAATTTGCTGAAGCTGATGGGGGGGATCTATCTTTGCATATCTGGTCTGAAGAGTTCACCGGAGATATGTTTAGCTGATACTGGAAGGAGGAATTCAACTATCAATAGACATTTGTGAGCAGGGGCGGACTGACCATTTGCAAACTCGGGCACTACCCGAGGGCCCGGGGTCAGTAGGGGGCCCCATGAGATGCCCCTGGTACCTTTTTCATAGGCTTTTTTGAGTTTGGACAAGGACACAGGCGCCATGATCTCCTATTGCCCGGGGGCCCCATGAGTTCTCCCCTGTTTGTGAGTACAGAGCGGTGTGTGAGGTCCCAGTGATTATGCGCTGCTGCTATCCCTTTTATATCAAAGTCAGCCTGTACTAAAAGTGGACATTGTTCATGGTGTCCCTGTGCAGCTCAGCCCATCATTTGCTTCTGCAAGAACTGTGCTAATAATCTGCAGGAGGAAGATAGGTGTCCTCAAGTTGCTACTTAAAGCGGAGCTCCAGTCTCCTAAACAATTTTTTGATAAACGCACCCCTGTGATTCTTAGTACTTGTACTATATTATTTGGTTATTGGCATAACTGTCCTCATACTTGTTACTTGTAAATCTGTAATCTCTTACTTGATCTAGGAAGAAAGCAGAATGTGGGTATCTGAAACCTGCTCCTGTGTACTTCTGGGATTTAATGCAGCTGGCTACCCAGCATGCACCTCCCGATCTCACGCCTGCGCAGTAATGACACTGTCTGGCGCACTTTGCTGATTACAGGTTGTCATAGCAATGGCGGCATTGGCGGAAGTTCCCACCCTGTTGTTATAGCAACCTGTCAATCAACAGAGAACCCGGAATCTCATGATCGTACCCACATTAGATGTCCGAAGACTCCTGGAAATGGGTGAAATAGATATCCCAGGAGTCAACGGGCTGGGCAAATGACGTAGTCACCTAGATGGCCGCAACCAGAAGTAGTTAGGGAAGACTATTTAAAAAAAGGTAGTTTTTCTCTACAAATTTCACCATTTAAATATAAAAAAGTAAATCACTATGGGTGTACATTACAATGGGGTAATGATGAAAAATGAGTGGAACTCTGGTTTAAACTTACTGGAGAATCGCGCGGTTAACCTACCAAGCCCCATCCAAGTTCAATTTTTCAATAAAGCATCAAAAAGGATACCCCTAAAACTAATAATTGAGCCAGAAGAGTGTCAGAGACTGTGTGCCTGGCTGCTAATGCACCCATTGAGAAAAAACACCTTGTGACCTATACAGCAGGCCCTTTCGGGGGTGAGCGCTACATTAGGTTGATTGACCATTCAGATAATATACCTCATGGCCACATGATAATTATCATATATGTATATCCAAGCTTTCATCTGATCTCCTTGTAATAGTGTGTGCTAGAAGCCACTGTACCATCTGTACTGTCTGTGCTACATCATTTTATACCACCATTGGAGAGCTCAGGAATCCACCTCAGCCTGGGTCGCTGGATACCCTACCCACTTCACCAGTCATGCTGACTGTATCAGGAAAAGTGGACTATGCGGTGGGTCGCTGGATACCCTACCCGCTTCACCAGTCATGCTGACTGCATCAGGAAAAGTGGACTATGCGGTGGGTCGCTGGATACCCTACTCGCTTCACCAGTCATGCTGACTGCATCAGGAGAAGTGGACTATGCGGTGGGTCGCTGGATACCCTACCCGCTTCACCAGTCATGCTGACTGCATCAGGAAAAGTGAACTATGCGGTGGGTCGCTGGATACCCTACTTGCTTCACCAGTCATGCTGACTGCATCAGGAAAAGTGGACTATGCGGTGGGTCGTTGGATACTCTACCTGCTTCACCAGTCATGCTGACTGCATCAGGAAAAGTGGACTATGGTGTGGGTTGCTGGATACCCTACCCGCTTCACCAGTCATTCTGACTGCATCAGGAAAAGTGGACTATGGTGTGGGTTGCTGGATACCCTACCCACTTCACCAGTCATTCTGACTGCATCAAGAAAAGTGGACTATGCAGTGGGTTGCTGGATACCCTACCCGCTTCACCAGTCATTCTGACTGCATCAGGAAAAGTGGACCATGCAGTGACAGGTTTAAAATAAGATTAAATATTTGCATGCAGAGTACAGGAGAAGCTTTATGTTTACAGAGTCCAATTTATTTTTTTATGAAGAAAACAAATTCTAATTAATGCATTTCAGAGATCAGAAAGTCATAAGTGTAAAATGTATGATGAAGCATAAATACATATTCATTATCCTTAAAGGATAACTTCACTTTCGTTAAAAAAATTAATAATCCCAAATTTTTGGCATCCCCTGCAATAGAAATTTCATGTTGGTGAAGGGTTACCCACTTCTAAAAAGATACAGAGCCTGCAAATTTCCTCATCAGAACACTGAGATTTCAACAGGTGGGTATAATGAACACAGACCCTCCCTTCCAGGAATCTATCTGCAAAGGACATGGTGATTATTTCTTCAAAACAGAAAAAATTAGAACTCTGCAACAAAGCTTTGTAAAAACCCTTGCAATGTTCATAGATAAACCAGAGAGGATTGTTTTTATGCAACAACAGTGAAGTTAGGCTAAGTTCACACATCTGCAGGTGGGGAATGCGCAAAAAAATCACATGTGTTCCCGATCCAAAAAGAAACATACTGCACTTTAGCAGAAGTGTAGGGTCAGCGACTTTTTCCCAACATTTCTGGGGGTAAGGCAGCCTATTGAAATAAATGGGCTAGCTACACACAGAACGCAGTCCTACAAAGATCTAGACGGAGCCTTACACTTTAAAGAAAATGTGAAGCAGCATCCTTACAATAAAAAATCAGCTAAAATGACCATTTTGTCAGTCAGCACCATAACAAGACAATTATTAAATGGAAGTAAAAATTAAATGAAAAATAACACTCGGTTTTAAGGTAGAACTAAACTCTGCAACTGATTTATTTTTTAATAAATGGGCCCCTGGGAGCTTAATGTACTACTACACATTGCATGATAGAACATGAGAGAACATTATGGCAGATGTACCCAGCCAACAAAGCCCTCTAGCGCTAGGCTGGCAGTGCTCTAAGCTGTCACCGGCGCTTCCATCTTATCCCAGTCTTCCTTCTGGGTCCGGTCTCTATATGGCTGCTCAAATGTCTAGGCCTGCGATGACATCGTTCACATGCATGTGCATGAAAATCACATCATCACAGCACAGAGGAGGTGCCATAAATGTACACTGAGCTGCGCATGCACAGCTTAGTGGTGCCACAGCTGGAGAGGAAGTCAAGGGAAACAAGGTTTCTCTCTGTTTTCTTGAGCTTAATGCAGGCCATACATGGGTCGAATTCCGAACGATTTTTCATCCGAAAATCGAAAACGTTGTTCACTCAGTAATCCGATGGTGCCATCAATGATTTGGAAAATCGGGCCGACCAAGTTATAAAGTTCACCCCATATAAGGCCGGCCATACATTGAGTCAAAAATTGGTCGTTTTTCAACATGCCCCGATCACGAAAATCGGCCGGTGCCAATGAGCCACTATCAGAGCGAAAATCGGCCGATTATTCTTAGGTTCGATCTTCGGACGAAAAATCGGTCAAATTTCGACCCATGTATAGCTGGCATAAGAGCAGCGCTCTGGTTGGCTATGCTGCATCCAGGTGACCCATGGCAGCCATCTTGGGTCAGCAGAGCCTTTAATAAGTCCCTACGCCCGGATTTTGGCATGCATTTGCAAAGTGACTAGATAGGGAGAGAGAACCCGCCTATCAGGGAAAGTGACTAGTGGCAAGGACTCGCCATTCGGCAAGGAAGTCTCCCTTTTGGGACCCGACTGACCAGGCCGCACTTCGCCCTCTAAGCAGACGCTGTTGGCATATCTTCTCTTGTTGTATCTTGGCATTTGAACTGAACTGTGAGTGTTTCTATAGCGGTGCTCTCTCACCTAGGGTGTTTGTAGTTGGGCATTTTCTTCAATACAAGTTCCACATATTATTGCAAGCAGACTCTGTGTCTTTACTACCGCTGCACCACACTGCACCTCCCCACATGTTAACAGGCAGGAGAAGCATTCATGACAGTGATTATGATTTTTATCAGCATGTTTTTATTTTTTTGGGTTCAATTCCACCCTAAAAACAAAGTCAGTCTTGGACAGCACAAAATCCATGGGGCTCTATTCTGTACATAATGTGTGTGTGACAACACCCAGAAAATATCAGAAATTGTAATTAACCACTTGCCCTCCAGAGGATTTACCCCCCCCCCCCCCCTTCCTGACCAGGTCATGTTTGCCTTACGGTGCTACATTACCTTAACTGACAATTGCGCAGTCATGCAACGTTGCACCCAAATTAAATTTAAGTCCTTTTTTTTCCCCACGAATAGAGCTTTATTTCAATGGTATTTGATCACCTGTGCGCTTTTTCTTTTTGTGCTATAAAAAAAAACCATTATTTTTTACTTTTTGCTATTAAACATGTTCAATAAAAAAAATGTAAAAAAATCTAATTTCTTCATATATTTAGGCCAAAATGTATTCTGCTCCATGTCTTTACTAAAAAAAAAATCCCAATACGTGCAAATTAATTGGTTTACGTAAAAGTTATAGCGTTTACAAATGGCGGTATACAGTATATACTGGGATTTTTTTTTTTTGCTAGTAATGGCGGCAATCAGCGACTTATAGCAAGACTGCAGCGGGCATTCTGACACTGGGGGGAACTGACTTGGTGTCACTTACATTCCCAGTGACACCAATACAGTGATCAGTGCTAATAAAAACCACTGACACTGTACTAATGGCACTGGGCAGGAAGGGGTTAACATGGGGGTGATCAAAGGGTTAACTGTGTGCTGTTTTACTGCAAGCTGGGTGTGTGCTTCACCTTAACCACACTGCTTTGTATGGCTGTGTGCATGAGCTGACAGGGGAGAGAACTGTATTGTTTACTTAGTTCTCTTAGTTCTCTCCCTCCATCGATAATGCAGATATACTGCTATAGGGTGGCAGAGGTGCGCAAAATCATATATATATCCGTGATTTTGCACTCCCGGGTAGGGGGGCGCACGAGAGCAGCACGTGCAGGGGTGGACTGACAACTCATGGGGCCCCCGGGCAATAGGGGATCATGGGGCCCCTGTGTCTTTGCCCAAACTCAAAAAAGCCTATGGAAAAGGTACCAGGGGCATCTCATGGGGCCCCCTACTGACCCCGGGCCCTCGGGGAGTGCCCGAGTTTCCAAATGGTCAGTGCGCTCCTGAGCACATGTGCGCCCTTCCTGCGCCGCTATTCATGGCCTTGGCTGTCAATCACCGGGTGTCCACGAGTAATCATCAGCCAGGATTGACAGCCAAGGCCACGAATAGTGGCGCCCCCTGCCCGCAAATGCAAAATCACGGATATATATGTGATTTTGCAAACCCCTGCTGCCCTGTAGCAGTATATCTGCTATAGGCCGGTGGGAAAGCAGTTAAAGACAAGCCCCCTCAATCCCCCTGCCATGGTATCCCCACTGTTCACTTCCATGGGTACTACCCTTCGACAACCCTGTGCTTTTCAATGTGCTGCTGTGACACATACCAACATGAAAAACAACAGATTTCTGGAGAAGGACTGATATGGCGTACGGGAGGCGTACAACTCACCACTACTGGGAGCCTCGGAGCCGCTCGGCAGCGTTGATAAAACCGTTATTATTTTTATTGATTTATACAGTGCTATCATCTCCTGCGGTGCTGTGCAAATTAATAGATAAAGCCAGGGAGGGTAGTACAGTAATACAAAACACAGCACGTTCCTGTGATACGCTCATACAGTTGTAGAACACATTGGAGCAATAAAAAGAAACCATGGGATGATGATGATTGGGGTGGCAGGGACTGCATGGAACTGTCTTACCAATCCGGAGAGGATTTCTATTTTCTATGTAAAAATGTCAAGAAAACCAAAATGTGTTTCAATTCTGGTCACTTTATATGATAGGCCAGAATAGATTTTGCCTTTAGCTATACTTTAATGCATATGTGCTAACTGTTCCACATTTGCCAGGACAGTCCCACATTTTGGACCTCAGTCCTGATGATGGCCATGGGCCTGGACCTGGGCTATGTCTTGGAATCACAGCGTCAGCCTTACTTAAATTACTGTGCATGCAGGAGCTCAATAAGGCATTCATTACAGTGATTGGAGGCCGGGAGCGTGCGATCCACACAAAATTAGAGGCAGGGTTTAGGCGGGCCACTCTGGTAAGTAGATCTGAGTGATACGCCTGTTCACTGGGTGGATATGAAGAGGTCTGTGGGCACGGTTAACTGTGCCCAATTGTGTGACCACATTTTTTTTTAAAAGATGTAAAAATAAAAATGACGGTACTTTTCTATGATTACTTTAACCACTTGTCCTCCTGAGGATTTACCCCCCTTCCTGACCAGGCCATTTTTTGTGTTACGGCGCTGCATTACTGACAATTGTGCAGTCATGCAAAGCTGCACGCAAATTAAATTTACGTCTTTTTTTCCCACAAATTGAGCTTTCTTTCGGGGATATTTGATCACCTGTGCATTTTTTTTTTTGCACTATAAAAAAATAAAAGACTGAAAATTTTTAGAAAAAAAATATATATATGACTTTTTGATATTAAACATGTCCAGTAAAAAAATGTTAAATCAAATTTCATTATAAATTTTAAACCAAGATGTATTCTGCTACATGTCTTTGCTTAAAAAAAATCTAAATACATGTAAATTAATTGGTTTCCGTGAAAGTTATAGCATTTACAAATGGCAGTATTTTATATATTTTTTTTTTTTTTTTTTACTAGTAATGGTGGCGATCAGCTACTTATAGTGGGACTGCAGCAGACATTCTGACACTGAGAGGAACTGGCTTGGTGTCACTTACATCACCAGTGACACCAATACAGTGATTTGTGCTAAAAAAAAAGCACTGACACTGTACTAATGGCACTGGGCAGGAAGGGGTTAACATGAGGGGCGATTAAAGGGTTAACTGAGTGCAGGGAGTGTTTTACTAGGGGGCTGTGTCAGTGTACATTACTGCAATCACATTGCTCTGGATGGCTGTGCTGTGCACAGCCATCCAGAGCAGTGTGCCATGAGCTGACAGGGAGGAGGACTGTCAGTAAACAAAACAGTCCTCCTCCCCATCGGAGATCTTCGTAATTCACTGGGCACTGGCGAGTAATTACCGGCCGGGATCCGCTGATTGACAGCTGCAGCTGCGAATGGCGGCGTGTGCAGCTCATATGCACCCCCTACCTGGAAATGCAAAATTACATATATGTATACGCAGTGGTGTATTTAGGTTTTGCGCCGCCCCCCCCCCTGTAGAGAGAGCCCGACGTTGACCAAGAACACCCCTGCCCCCGCCTGAGACAGCCTTCCACTACCACTGCCCCCCATACACCAGCCACCTTCCCCAATGGCGAGAGAGAGAAAGACATTCACTTTCACAGCTCCGGACATCCCCAGGAACAAGAATCGGGCTGTGCATACACCGTCATGAAACCCGCAGTCTCTTTTGGAACCCACCTGCTCCCCATGCCGCATGTGTCCTTTCTTCCATCCCTTCTTCCAAGGGGCAGTGCTGCCCCCCCTGAAAAATGCTGCCCTAGGCAAATGCCTTGTTTGCCTTGTGGTAAATACACCCCTGTGTATACGTGATTTTGCGCACCTGTGCCGTCCTGTAGCAGTATTTCTGCTATAGGGTGGACGGGAAGTGGTTAATGGCAGTTACAAATGTATTGTGCATACAAAAGGAATAACAGGCGCATGGTGTATTGTCTTTAACATGGAGCCTGTTTTTAAATTGTAAGATGTGAGTTACTACTTATCTTTTTATTAAATACTTTCACAGTACACAGAGGCGCTGAGTTTCTTTGTTTTCCACAAACGTATTGTGACCCTATGTTAGTTACTCTCCAAGCACCCATCCAGCTCACTCTGGTGACCCACTAATATCAGGTATTAGTACACTCCTAAGCAGCCTATGTATTGGATCAATGGATAGAAAGCTGCCTCAGCCTAGGCTACTTCCAGGCCATGTGCTGACACATTTCTCCCCACTCAGAGGGCTTAGTCATAGAGGTTCTATGACTAAGCCCTGTGGGTGAGATGAAATGCGTCATAGGGCATGGCCTAGGAGGAGCCTAGCCTGAGGCTGCTTTCCATCTATTGATCCAATACATAGGCTGCTTAGAGTGTGGAATCTCCGAGTCCCACTAGTTACAAATGTATATTGGAATGTTTCAGGAGCTTGTAGATCAGGGGGCCCGAGGGCCTTATGTGGCCCTTTGCTTGCCTTTATTTGGCCCTTGATGCACTATTCCTACCATTGATACGAGGCACTATTCCTTACTCTGACACCAAAGATGAAGCACTATTCCTCCCACTGACACCAACAATTGGGTACTATTCCTCCCACTGACACCAGAGATGGGGAATTAATTCTCCCATTGACACCAATGATGGGGCACTATTCCTCCCACTAACACCAATGATGTCATTTTTTTACTGCCACTGACAGCCAAGCCTATGGCATTGTCTACTCCCACCGATGCCAGGGAATTTTCTACTCCCACTGGCCAAAGTCCAGCCCCCCTAAATTTTGAAGGGTAGTAAATGGACCCTTTGTTTCAAAAGTTTGGAGTAGATAATAAAATTCTTTTCCTTGATGGAGACATTAGTCTGCCCCACCTGACTTCCTGCTTCCGGGAATCTTCTTTTAGGGCGGGTAATGTACTAAGGAAGAAAATGCGCGGCTTTGCAGCAGTTGCAAAGAGAGGGCAAAGTATCACAAGGGACATTATACAGACATTACTGGACAGTGATCATTGCTGGTTTATTGTAACAAGTAATAGAAGAGCAATGTGCCTCCTCGGTGGAAAATAATCCAACCTTTTCAGTTCATGTCCCTTCCAGGCAGGTTTACTAAAAGACTTTTCCATATTAATATCCTGCAAAAGCCTTTCTACTGAAGGAGGCCAATTATTACGATGAAGAAACCTCGCCCGTCTAATCAGACGGTCTTCAGCCATAGACGACCTTTACCTTTCTGAAAAACATTGAACAGCGTTGGGAAAATCACCAACCAATTGTTTTAGAAAGTCCTTGGTGCCTCTCATTCTGTAGATACATTTAAGCCCACATCCACACTAAGGTAGCGCATGAAAGCACAGAAATCATGTGATTTAACACACATTCCTTGTCAATGGCACCTGAAACTCACCAAGCAAAAAGCACATGTGCAAAACCATGCAAAGCCTGAAGCTCAAAAAGGTGCATGGGCTTCTTTGCTGTGTTTGTCACATGTATGGCAGCACATTGAAATGAATGGGCTACACTATGTGAGAAGTGCAACAATGCTCAAAAACATGCAAATGCACAATGCCCAATGATGCGCTACCCTAGTTCCAATGGAGGCTTAAGCATAATCTCAAAGGAAAAAAATATGCAGCACCTCTTTGCAATACATTCACACTTCAATGTTTATCCATTTAAAGACCCTGCAAATACAGAAGAATACCCGTTGGCCTGCTAGAAATGCACTCTGCTCCTAAGTCCTGTTGTGGGCTGACAACAAACCCCATTTTTATGGACTGAGAGGTGTCATCCCTGCCCAAAGTCTTTTGCTAAACTGCTCAACCACTCCCAATCTCAGATTTCTACAATATAAAAGCTATATATTCCACAGTCCAAGATAAGAACTGGGGGGGGGGGGGGGGATTAGCATGGTAAGCTCTGAATTTCTAACAAGATAAGCAGATTTAATTTTTTTGCACGTGTTGAATAAATACAGCTTTCTATGGTAAATTTAAAGTGAATGTAAAGGATAAAATTTTATTTTTTAAAAATACCCAACATGTCATACTAACATGCCCTGTGAAATAGTTTTGCACAGAGCAGCCTCAATGCTCTTCTTCTTTGGTCCCCCACCAGAGCTCCATGCGTGCTTGCTCCGGAGCTGTACTCTGTGTGTCCATTGACACACAGAGTGCAGAACAGCCCTATCCCCTGTTCCCTTCTTATTGGCTGTGATCAACAGCAGTGGGAGCCAATGGCTCCCCCTGCTGTCTCTGAGCCAATGAGGAGGAGGAGAAAGCCAAGAGAACCTCTGTTCTCTTGCAACAGTGCTGGATCAAGATCGTGCTCAGGTAAGTATAAAGGGGGCTGTCAGGGGAGCTGCACACAGTTTTTTTGCCTTAATGCAGAGAATGACAGTAAACCTTCAGAATCAAAAGAGAACAAGTAAGAGAAGATCATTGTTAAACCTCTTTCATGCAGACAGAAAGAGAATGGAAACAAAAGCGGTTTATTTGCATTATTGAAAAAAAAAAAAGAAAACTCAGCCAAAAGCAAAAACACAATCATGCTGTGGCAAGATCAACCCCTGAACACCTCAAAGCTGCTGTTCTGCTGCCCTCCAAAAAGCAATTCACTGCAGATCGCTTTTTAGAAGGGGGGTGGTAGAAACTGCCACCTGTATAAAAGAGCAAAGGAGTGGTCTGAATTACAGGAAATTACTACACAGAGGAAATGATTCACACTGGATTACTGCACAGATTTAGAACAAAACCACAAAGCACTCCAAGAATCAGGAATACACAGGCCTCTTGCATTTTGACAATATTTGGTTATCATGGATTATAGAGTTGATTAAACTGGGATTTAATATTTCTTTATAACTGATATTTATTGATACACCAGATTCCAAATGAGTAGGAACAGCAGCACAGTGGCTAAATGGTTAGCATGTCCGCCCACATGCCCCCCCCCCCATGCCTGTATGGGCCTCCCCCAGGCACCCCAGCGCCCCCCCCTCCCCCTAATCCCCAAAAGACACACTGGTAGGCCAATTGGCTCCTGTCCAAATTCACCCCAGTATATGAATGTGAGTTAGGGACCTTAGATTGTACACCCCTTGAAGGTTAGGGACTGATGGGAATGTACAATATTTGTATGCAAATAAATTGACAGCATTATAGAAGTACCTGAAATAAATAATTTAAACTCAGCTCTCCCCATAGATGAAGGGCACCCTGCGCAATTGCTACACCAGACTCGCAATAGGATTGATGTACCAAAACTGTAGAGTGCAAAATCTGGAGCAGCTGTTCATGGTAGCCAAACAGCTTCTATATTCAGCTTGTTCAATTAAGCTTTGGCAATAAAACCTGGAAGCTGATTGGTTTCTATGCAGAGCTGCATCAGATTTTAGTAAATCAACCCCAATGCATTACATCTAAGGATATCGCCGGAGCTCGGAGCTGCCATATTCCATGTAGCAGGATGCCTGCTATTTTACATCAATCTATGATAAGACTAGGTGGCACCCTAAGTCAACTACAAGAGCAGGGGGATGAGATTGAGAATTTCCAGTATAGATGTAGTACTGTGACTGCAAAGAAGATCAATTAGAATTGTTCTGACAATGTAAAACAAACTTAGATTGACAGGAGAAGGTCCTTTCTATTACAATGAAATTACAATTGTCAATGTATCAATATTTGATAACACTACAATTCTCATTTCATGGCACGTTATTCTGAGGTATTTGAAAGGGTGAGTAGCCCTAATGGAGTCATTTCCGTCCACATGGGGCCCAACTGCTCATTCCTCCTCCCGTAATTGTCCGGTTAATTGAAGTAATCCCGTTATGAAGCAGTATTTGCTCTGTCAGTCAGAATGAAGATTGATAAGTGTTATTGATCATCCGCGCCACTAATCTTCTCCATAGTGTGGCCTCATGTTTGTATTTCCCAGCAGGCCACGGACTGGAGATTTCTTTGCTTCTGAATTCATCTCCAAACCCCAAACTCATCATTGCCTCCCCTCACCCAATATTGGAGAGACAAATCACTATTTGGTGACAGCAGCACAATAACCAAATACAAATGAAACAGCAAATCACATATTCTACATCCCGCAGGTGGAAGTACACTGAATGCACACACATTTACAGGAAGGTCCTCAGAGGGTAGCAGAGGGGTCCACCCCATTTATCTCCAGAAATGTTCTTTTAATTTGGACCTGTCAGTAACTTTACAAGCCTGCATTCCTGACATATCACAATAAACAGCAACATTTTTCAGAAATGATCGACCTTTTATTATTAAAGAGCCATCTGACTTTGTCTAGGCTGAGATGATGTTATCAGTCATCTGCAGGTAGGAAGAAGCATTTCTTCAGTCTCCTGTTCCCTAGTGATCACTCAGACAGTATATTGTAACCTTGTAGCAAATCACAACTGCAGCGGAGACTAATCTGTGTCAGACCTCTATGACTAAGCCCTGGAGGTGGGGAAAAAACACATCAGTGGAGGTGGCTGGGAAGGAGTTGAGGCCGTTCCATGCTATCGGGCTATTGGGAGTGCAGTGCTTACACACATTAGTAACTTCTGGATGAGTACTGGTCAGGGGCGAACTGACAACTCATGGGGCCCCGGGCAATAGGGGATCATGGGGCCCCTGTTTCCTTGCCCAAACTCAAAAAAGCATATGAAAAAGGTACCAGGGGCATCTCATGGGGGCCCATACTGACCCCGGGCCCTCGGGCAGTGCCCGGGTTTCCAAATGGTCAGTCCGCCCCTGGTACTGGTTTGGTTCTCCTCTGGTGCACCTGTACTTCAGCAGTTTGAACTACTGTCAAGTGCCCATTGAGGGAATCCCAGCTGTGTGGGAGCCACCTTGCCTTAGCTGTTGAGCTTCTTTGAAGTGTTCCTTTATCTGTCTGCATGGTTATGTTTGAAAGTTCCTAGCACCCCTTTGAACACAGCCAGGGACTGCCCAGGCACCAAGATTTACTTGACTATGTATCTCTGAGCTGGTATCTCTGTCCAAGAAGTAGATAGTGACCTTGGTTGATGCCTAAACAAAGATACCTTCATCCTTCTGGAGAGAAAAGTAGATTAAGACGGGGAGTACTATGATCTGAGAGGTGATAAATACCTGGAAGTGTTACACTGGCATATTACTGAGCATGCTGGACGTCACAGGAAAAATATATAAAATTATGACTTTTGTTGAATTGGAAGGATGTTATCAATTACATTTCTTCTTCTACATTTTTATTGATAAAATACATCTGATTAGATTAAATCCCAGACCCAAGCACTGGGGTCCTTGGTTTGGCTCCTGGACAAGATACTGTCTGCATGGAGTTTGCATGCATGTTGTGTGCTCTGGTTTCCTTCAACACTCCAAAGACATGCTAGCATTTTAATTGGCTCCTGCATAAATTGGCCCTAGTATGTGTATGAATTTATGTGAGATAGGGGCCTTAGATTAGCTCCTCAAGGGCGGGGACTAATGTGAATGATGTTGGAAGTATATAAATGTCTGTAATAAATACATGCAATTAAAACTGTCTTATCAAGTTTGTCAGAGGGGCTATTGGCCAAGGAGGACATCCACCAGTGGGCCCTATATTTTCTCTTCTTCAGGAAGAATTCTCACTAATTGTCTCATCACTCTCTGACCCATATTAAGCATCTCTCCATTCCCCAGCCCGACCATCACATCCAAATCTCAGCCCAACCTCCAGCGCTGCCATTTGTTCCCGTCTAGTTTGCTTCTCATTTTCATCTCGTTCAGAAGCCGGCACATTAATATCATCACGTTCCATCTTCTGATCCGAGTATTTACTGTACTGGCACAGAATATCTTCTCACTGCAGCTGCACAGACAGAAATAGGAACATCCCAACCCAACTATTAATTAGAATGAATTATAATTCCCTTGTAATGATTCCACGTTTATGGGAAGCACGTTAGTTCATCCGATTAAACCCTTGCCAGGTTTTCGAGAGAAGAAACACAAGAAAATGAAGAGAGGTTTTTTTTTCACGCTGCTAGCGTTGGCTACGGATTAGCGTTTAAGAGTCGTATTCCAAACAGGCCCTCCGGACTCATGTTTAGGGGCGACAAGCGGATGTCGCAGTTATCGCACCACAAATGTTTAACAATCCTGAAAAGTTCCTCAAGTGTTGGAGATAAGGATGTGATCACCAGAGGGCACTGAGGGCCAGACGTCACTTCTCCACCACATGATAACCGCCGTCTATTTATCAGCTTCCTCCGTGTAGAAGAAACTCGACTCCATTGCATATTTCCATACTGTGCTCTGTAGATACCCAACGTTCCTCCTTAGTGTGTGACTTTATACCCTCAGATTACATTGAGTATATGACTGAACTATATTTAAGTACTCTCCAATGACACTTACCATTTATTACAGACAATATTGCGTGCTTAAAGCTGAACTCCAGGTATGGAATTTATTACTACAGCTTGGACCATTGTAGGTATACATATTGCGTACATGTAGGACCACCATGGAAGTGGAGAATCACTGTAGTAGTCACCGCTACTCCAGTGATCACTGCTGTCTTCCAGGTCCCATGCCAAGTGACTGCCCTGCTGCTTAGTAACCACAACAGGTCGCTTGCTCAGCAAGGTTGAAATTCACAAAAAAGCCTTGCATTATTCTCAATGATTGGACGAGGTGGACAGATAGGATGGTGACGTCACAGTCTCCATCTCTTCCAATCATACCAAGCCTTGTACAGTTCTGTGAATGACCCCCATGCTGACAAAGTGACCCACTGAAGTTACTATGCAGCAGGGAGGCCACTTAACATGGGACCCAGATGACCACAGTAATCACTGTAGTTGCAGAGATTAATACCATCATTCTCAGCTTCCATGGCAGTTGAAGTGGTTGTAAACCTCAGTCATAAAATATGAACAAAGCATATCCCTCTATAGTGTGTACTTGTCTCAATCCAGAGCACTGAGTGTCATTTCTTTCTGCTGCTTCGTTCCTCTGCTATCAGCATGAATCACTTATATCAAGATTTCCTGACACCAAGAGAAAAATGGTGACGGGAGGGACCTCCAGCAGATTGACAGCCTCAGCTCTGTTCCTGTGTGTTGTGTGAAGGGGGGGGGGGGTGTCTCTTCCCTCCAATCAGCTCTCACATGTCTCCTCACTAAGCTCTGCAGAGGGAAACTTCAGCTCTCGCCCCTTTTTCTGAGCTTTCAGGCAAGCTGTAGAAATTCAGCACTTTGAACGGATATAGAGAAGAGAAGACTACAGATAAACAGGTATAACTTATGTAGGAGAATTTGTTTCACCTCTGTGTATCACCTGAGGACAGTCAATTCACTAGGTATGTGTGAGGGTTTACAACATTAAGATACAGTCGTAACTTATGATCGTTATCAATCGCATCTCTGGCTCCACAATATAATTTCATAATCTGGTCAATCAAAATACGATCATGTTCACTTCTGTAAATCAATGAAAACAATTTGTTGCCTTGGCTGATGCACTCAGTTTGAATGAATCTGATCTAAATCAAATCTAAAACAATCAAAGGGTTATAAGATTGCTTGCAAATGCGATTGTTTTGATCGAATCACACATTGTTTGGATAATAAAATTGAAGCATGTATGGCCATCATTACATTGCTCCAAGCTGGTCCAAAAAAATTCATACCTTGAGTTCAGCTTTAAGTGAAACTCAACAGGAAGTCTAACTTTGGCATGGACTTGGGGTTTGATTTCTCTGCCAGATTTTACTTGCGGCCTGTTGGAAAGATGATGCTCTTTACTTGTCCTGGTGACCACACAGGAAGGGAGGAAAAATCTCCCCAACTGGGGCACAGACCAAAGTGCAAGTGTGTTAGTGAGCTCACCCTTACCATTAACCTCTTCCCATTTGGCCATAGTCTATAGACAGCAGACGGTAAGCTTTGCCGATGCGGGCCAACTTACCGGTACCTGTACATTGGCTGTTCCTGCACGGCTCACATATCACGCACCCAGGAGCCCGATGATCAGTATATTGCCCGAACACAGCGGTAATGTGTCCAATCACAGCAATCACATAGTAAACACTAGAAAGTGAAACTAAAGATCGCTTCTCTCTGCTCTCACACTGAGCGATCCTGCAGCCTGTTAGTGTACAGCAGCCTGTCAGACTGCTTGTACACCTACAGACTGCAGTGCCAGACAGCCAGCCAGTGTCACTGATTAATGCCTCTGTGTCACTGATCACTGCCCCGGAGTAGGGACAATAAATAATGCAGCCAGCCCCTGTCACCTGTCCTAGTGCGCACAAATACACCGCCACACACACCATACCAGTGTCCTGATCACCAACATACCAGCACCCTGATCACCAGCATACCCAAAACCAACTCCCTGATCACCGCTATACCCCATACCAGCACCCTGATCACCACCATATTCCATACCAGCACCCTGATCACTACCATACCCAAAACCAGCATCTTGATCACCACCATACCCCATACCAGTGTCCTGATCATCACCATACCCAAAACCAACTCCCTGATCACCAAAATACCCCATACCAACTCCCTGATCACCACCATACCCCATACCAACACCTTGATCACCACCATATGCCATACCAGCACCCTGATCACCACCATACCCAAAACCAGCATCTTGATCACCGCCATACCCCATACCAGCGTCCTGATCACCGCCATACCCAATACCAACATTCTGAGAACTGCCATAGCCCATACCAGCATCTTGATCACCGCCATACCCCATACCAGTGTCCTGATCACTGCCATACCCAATATCAACATTCTGAGAACTGCCATGCCCCATACCAGCATCCTGATCACCGTCATACCAGTGTCCTGATCACCACCATACTCCATACCAGTGTTCTGATCACCGCCATACCCCATTCCAGTGTTCTGATCACCGCCATACCCCATACCAGTGTTCTGATCACCGCCATACCCCATACCAGTGTTCTGATCACCGCCATACCCCATACCAGTGTTCTGATCACTGCCATACCCAATTCCAGCATCCTGATCACCGACATACCCCATACCAGCATCCTGATGACTGCCAGACCCCATTCCAGCATCTTGATCACCACCATACCCCATACCAGCATCCTGATGACCGCCATACCTCATGCTAATGTCCTGATCACTGCCATACATCATACCAGTATCCTGCATTTTAGGGTCTCAACTGAATTTTCATATATATATCCCATAGTTTGTAGACTCTATAGCTTTCACACAGACTAAATAATATGCATTCTTTTGGGTTATTTTTACCCCCAAAATGTAGTAGAATACATTTTGGCCTACATTTATAAAGAAACATTTTTTATTTGCAAAATTTTATAACAAAAACTAAGCAAAAAATTATTTTTTTTTCAAAATGTTCAGTCTTTTTTCATTTATATAGCAAAAAATAAAAAAACCCAGTGGTGATCAAATACCACAAAAAGTAAGCTCTATTTATCTAAAAAAAATGGTAAAAGTTTAATATGAGTACAGTGTTGCGTGACTGAGTAATGGTCACGCAACGTGTGATAGTGCTGAAAGCTGAAAATTGGCCTGGACTGGAAGGGGATGAAAGCTTCCGGACCTGAAGTGGTTAATTGGTTTGTGTGAAAGTTAAAGCATCTACAAACGTTTGTATATTTACTGGAATTTTTATCTATTTTTTTTTCTACACTAATAATGGCAGCAATCAGTGGGACTGTTATTGTGCAGTGGGCAATCTGACACTAACTGATGCTGGGTGGGAACTGACCAAATGACAATTACATCTCCATTGACACTATTACAGCGATCAATGCTAAATATACACTGTCACTATATGAATGACACTGGCTTGGAAGGGGTTAACATTTAGGGGCAGTCAGTGGGTTAACTGCGTGCCTAACAATCTTTACTGTGTGTAAAGAGTGCCGTTTTAATGTGTTGAGTTTTACTCCCTGCTTTGCAGGGAGAAAAAAAACAGCACCTTGCTGCTGTGTGTAGAGAGCCCTGTGTTGCTGTGTGCTCAGCTGATCAGTGGGTTTGGCCATAAATCAATGGCCGAACCCGCAGATCAGCATGTACTGTAGCGGATGCCCCCTACCTGGAAGAGCTGGATCATATACATGTACCTGATCCAGAGCAGTAGGGCCGCCCTGACGCAGTATATCTGCAGTAGACGGTTGGGAAGTAGTTAATATACACTAAATGTAATTTTTTTTTTACCAAAGACATGTAGCAGAATAGATAGTGGCCTACATTTATGAAGATGTTTTATTTTGTAAACTTTTTTATTGGATATGTTTTATGGCAAAAAGTACAAAATATTGTTTTTTTTTCAAGATTTTGGCTCTCTTTTCATTTATATCATAAAAAATTTAAAAAAAAAACCCAGTGGTGATCATTTACCACCAAAAGAAAGCTGTTTGTGTAAAAAAAATGACAATAAATTTTGAATACAGATTTGCATGACCGTGCAATTACCAGTTAAAGTAACGCAGTGCTGAATAGCAAAAAAATGGCGTGGTCATGAAGGGGGTAAAACCTTCCAGAGCTTAAGAGGTTAAAGATAAATTTCCATTTTAATAGCGCTTGTGAATGTTTAACTTCCCTAGTGGTTAATGCAAACAGATACAATGCGACTTCCGCCTTGGTGCTACGGAGCTGACTCACCAGATCTTCTGACCTCAAGTCACAATGATCAATGTTATCACTTGATCCATCAAAACTGATGCAACTTTCAAAATGACATAGTGTGCAGCACAGCATCTAAGCGGCACCACCAACAAAACGCCACCGACAAGTATCAGACCTCTAGTCTCCATCCCACACGATTTGTCCTAATGGATATTATCAGAGATCCCTCATTTTGATCAAGTTTTATTTTTTTATGTGTTTTAATAAACTATAGCTCAGACATTATCGCACTATAAAACAATTTTCTTTTCATGATAACATTGACCATTGTTCCAGTGGAGTGACTTGAGGTCACAGAATTTATTGAGTCATCTGTGTAGCACCGAGGTAGAAGTCACAATGTATCTATTCACAGTTCTCACTGGGGAAGTTTTTTCATCTCAAGCTCTACAGACCTAGAAATTCTACGATTGCAATATCCTTTATATCATCTTTTTATGTTACCAACTCATTTAAGTTTATATTAAAGGGTTAGTTCATCCTTATGAAATAACTGCCTATGGAGAACAAACTGTGGAGCTCTGACTGAGGTTGGATGATGCTTTGCTATAGGTGTATTTACAGTCCATTTACATACTTCCTAAAGCCTGGCCCAAAAACTCGCAGAAATGGCATAATCCCATCCTGCCTTGTTGCTAGGACGTTGCTAAGACACTCCCAGCTGTTACTGCTCACCCCCACCATCACAGGAGCAAGCTCTCAAAACCTTACACATGTGTGGTCTACAGCATTGCTGGGCTCAGAGCTCCTGCAACGGGGGAGAAGGAGCGCATGCAAGGGGATTTGAAGCGACTGATAGTGTCTTAGAAGCATTCCAGCAACAAGACAGGGGGATGCCATCTCTGGGAGGTACATAATTGGCCTACACCTATAACAAGGACATTTTTTAACTTTCTTTTATCAGCATAGGCAGTTTTTTGTTAAGGGTGAACAAACCCTTTAAAATGGTAGCAAAGCCACTTCTTTGATTTTTACCTATAGGTAAGCGTTATTATAGGCTTACTATAAGTACAGTAAATGTTTCCTAAACGTGAACCGTTTAGGAGATATTTACTTTTTCAGCAGTCGGTGATGTCACTGGTGCATGCGTTCTGAAGAAATGGCATACCTGTTCTGTTCCTTCAGAGCTCATTCATATGGCTGAAACCTGTGAACCCGGAAGGAAGACGGGGTGAAGATGGAAGCGCCATGACCTGTGACAGCAGGCTGCTGGAGGGCTTTCGTTTCAGGTACATCTGTCATAATGTGCTAGTATACAATGCATACTAGCACATTATGACTAAAACCACCCATTTTTTTTCTTCTTCTTAGGTGTGGTTTACTACCGTTTAAGGACTTTATCTGTTTTCATTAACAAGGACTGCTGGTTGGTTGCTTTGAGCAGTTTCACTTTTAGTCCTATGACAAGACTGTTGTGCTAACTAAAGCCTTGTTTTTAACACATACTGTTAGACAGGTTAATTCGGTTTGTTTGCAGGCTGGTTGGCAGGCTGAGCTGGGAATTTTTCTCTTTTGTTGTTTGACAACATGTGCTCCTTGCTGTGAAGGCCAGTTATAGACTGGGGCAAAAGCCATTTTTTGTACTGTTGATTTGTTGGTCGAGGGGGGCACACTGGACACCTTAGCTGCCATTGTGCTACATGCTGGGTGTCCAGTGCTCTCCTATACCAAGGAATGGGCTCCCTCAGGTCCACCTTCCCTTGATCTATCCATTAAATACATGTGCCTCTTCTATAGAGGCTCTCAAAATTTGTAGAGTTAGGTACTACAGAATATCGGGGGTGCCGTGAAGAGGCTTTGTAGCTTACGCATGTATTTGCAAATGTGCAGGCTGGTTGGCAAGCTGAGCTGGAAATTTTTTCTCTTTTGTTATTTGACATGCGTCGACCTTCCATGTGCTCCTTGCTGTGAAGGCCAGTTACAGACTGGGGCAGTGGCCATTTTTTGTACCATGACAAAAAACTACCTGTAAGTCTTTCCTTCAATGCCTTGGAAACTCCCCTGAGCATGGGCTCCAGAACACTGTTATAGCGTGTCTGTGCTTGCCACCCATGATGAACCCATTGAACTGTCCCAGTGTTAGGCTGTGCACCCATGATGAACCCAATGAACTGTCCCAGTGCTGGGCTGCGCACCCATGATGAACCCAATGAACTGTCCCAGTGTTGGGCTGTGCACCCATGATGAACCCAATGAACTGTCCCAGTGTTGGGCTGTGCACCCATGATGAACCCAATGAACTGTCCCAGTGCTGGGCTGCGCACCCATGATGAACCCGAATGAACTGTCCCAGTGTTAGGCTGTGCACCCATGATGAACCCAATGAACTGTCCCAGTGTTAGGCTGTGCACCCATGATGAACCCAATGAACTGTCCCAGTGCTAGGCTGTGCACCCATGATGAACCCAATGAACTGTCCCAGTGCTAGGCTGTGCACCCATGATGAACCCAATGAACTGTCCCAGTGCTAGGCTGTGCACCCATGATGAACCCAATGAACTGTCCCAGTGCTAGGCTGTGCACCCATGATGAACCCAACTGTGAACTGTGCACCCCCACTGTCCCAGTGCTAGGCTGTGCTCACATTCTACTCACTGTGCAGCTGCTGGTGTATAAATCTTATTCTGTCCTCATATGAAGACTGAAAAGCCTCCAGTGAGCTTGAGGCAGCATCAGACTCTACAGAGAATTGTCACTCTCTAATTGATTCAAGGGGCTGTTTGGTCATATCTAGGAAAATATCTTATAGTAAAATCTGCTTTGGCCATAGATTTGTTTCTCCTCCGGACCATCGTGATCAGTAAGTAGAAGATGATGGTGCAAAACGTACTGGATTCATATGTTCATGCTGTCACCCACTGTACCTAGTATTTATGTTTGTTTTTAATTTAAAAGGGTTAATTCACCTTTTCAGAATAAACAAGAAGGTGAACCAACACCTCATAGCCCCCACCCCCTAAGGTCTCAGCTGTACTTACCTCCATGGGTGATGGGCTGTCTTTACTGGGGCAGCAGTCTGGAGATTTGAAATCTACTGTCTTCTTCCCCTTTCCCCAGGCCTTCCGGGACAGATCAGAGTGGTTTTCTGTTCTGGCGCAGACTTCTCTGATCTGTCCTGGAATCCCTGCAAAAAGAAGGAAAAGAATGGGAATGTCAAATACCTGGATCAGTGCATTGGCTGGGTGGACACTGACAGCTCATTATACTTAAAGGTAGGCACAATGGTGGAAACATTGGATACGGGAGCAGCAAGGATTGGTCTATCCGCTTGAAATTTCACATACATTTGAATTCCATCATACTTCCCTGTCTTCAGCCCTCTACACCCATGTGCAGGAGCTTTTGTCATATAAGTACAATGGTGATTAGGGGGAAGAGGCTTTAGTGAGGAAGTCGCAAAGTTAGTTCACCAATTT